AACCTGTTGTGTTAGTTATATCAGTTTCGCTGATGACTGTATTCACGATGTGGACACTGGTGGTGCATGCGTAGCACGGTGCTTTGCGCTTGCCTCATTGTGCCCGACCGAGCCGATGCAATGAACGTGGCTCCAAGGCGGGTCCCGCTGTAGTTGTTAGCGACCTTGAATACCTCTTCCATACCCTGTATCACGGCAGGAGCAAAAAATGCAGCAAGGTATTGGACTGCAATAACATCAATTCATAAGTACTTCTTCTGTCCCACATCGAATTGCATTATGGAAACAACGAAACCGTCGCAAAGTTTTGCTTCAATGTACAGAGTAATATGCAAAACAGAAAAGCCATTTGGCTATTATTTGGAAACTATTTTAAAGCGCCATCAGCAAGACATCTTGGTCCCCGTAAACATCCCTCAAAATCCGAGAAATAGGCAGTCTTGGCGCCACATTCAAGATATCGGCAAATTTTGGCTAAATGGCGTATGTTCAAGACAACACCGCGAATTTAATATGTAGCAGATCCGCCCACAAACTTGGGAGCGTAAATTGGACATCACCAAAATATTTTGGAAATTTCTTGCGAACATATGAGACGATTTGGAAGCTTACGGGGCCACGGTTCATAACCGCAATTTAATCTGGGATGGAGGAAGTCATCATTCAAATTCCCATCCTGCTGCTTTATGATGTAATTCACTAAATCAGGTAAGCAAATATGGACTAACACATTGGGAATCAATAATAAGTGCACCAAAATTGTTAGCAATCATTGCATGAATCAACATCGAGTATTTCTTCCAAGCATTGGAATTAAACATGAGAAATGTGAACAAAAGAACATGCCAAACAACGTACAAGACAAATGATACAAAAAGTACAGGACTGAGTTGCATGTCACTGCATTATGGCCTTCGTGCTTCAAAGCGCGGAGGCTGCCTTCAAGATCGAGTTCACTTTGAAATGCGCAAAGACTTCGCTGTGCATTTTCCAATTATATTCAATAATAATATACGTACTGAGCGATATTAAGCATTGGAATACAAGTGGAAAGTGCTACGACGTATGGTCGCTTAGGGCGAATATTTTCTACAAGTACGATTTTGAATACTTGCTGTATCCCGAATTAAATGAAGCAAATTGGAAAAGAAAAATTCGCAGCTCGAAAAACAAGTGCCAATGTGAAATCGAATGTCAGATTTTGGAAGTTCGGGTCTGAAAAACAAGCAATAACCTTTTCCGCGACCAAATATGGTCTTTCAGCCCGTTTGTGTAGGTCTCTGAAAAGAGTGACTTTGGCAGCAATGCGCAGTTCACACAACGAGCCTTTATGATGGCTTCTATTTGCATGGTGTTGCTCCCACGCTGGCCGTTCCAGAGGCTCAGGACCGCTGCTGCTATGTTGAGTTTGATTGGGATTGGCATCTGTACCCTTCCGACACCGTGGGTTTTGCGGAAAAGGGCCCCGCTCGGAGACCTAAGTTGGCGGGGTCAGCGACGGAGTGTCTGTTTGGAGTTCTTGTCACAAGTAGCAATAGTTCAGGAGACTGCAGTTCGCGCGCAATTCCTTTCCATTCTCTTCAAGAACTCGGTTGTTGCGTTTAGCAAGCTGTTTTCCAGGTGAAACAAGAAATGATTGATACAACGGCAGCCCCACAAACAAATTGCTTACTTTATTTACAAGACGGAGGAAGCAACTATTGAATGCAATTTCAAGTCATTTCGGGGTTCACCTGCGTCATGCAGATATACTCCTCGACATCAGGGCTCAGAGTCGGGTCTTCGTTTACGATGTTGCTCGGTGTGGAAATCACCGCGGAGTTCGCATTGTTCTAAATAGCGTGGAACACACAGAAAGAATTAGTACGTGATCGGCATTGGACAGATCAGTGATATTCAATACTCTCTGATTCATTTGTTCGCATGTTCTTCAAAATTGATCGAGCAGTAGATGAGCACTCGCTCTTGCTGTCACTGCCACTGCTGCTGTCATTGTCACTATCGCTATCCCTCGTATGAACACTTTTTATTCGACCGCCCACTGCCGTTTACTGTACACACGCAGAGATTGAGCGTAGGCATCAAGGCAGAATTTCTTCCTTTCAGCTTAAGAGGCTGTTTGACCTATTTAGCTGCACTCGGGAGTACTTTACGCAGCCTCTTAGCAGAGGAAACTGTTACTTTTTTTTAATAACTCTTTGCGTTGATCCCAGCTGGACTAGTCGCTGGTCCTGGGCTCATAATTTCGTGCCAGCAATCGTGGGCTTAGGTCGACAGACGGCAGCATACATGTGTGTCGGATTGTTGTATATCCATTCACATAGCCACAGTGGTGCGTAAAAGAATTAGCCAATCGAAATGCATTGACTTGTCCATAAATCAAACTGCTTGGAATTGTACATCAACCCATTTCCGACATTGGTTCTAAATGATGAACCACCATTCAGCGCCTGTAGAACGCCCCGGCAGCCAAATATGCTACGAGTCCAGTAGTTAAGCATACGCACATAGCGTATTCCCCCTGTGTCCGGTTGCTATGCGAGTCACCAATTCTGTGATACCAAATTAGAGATAAATGGCAAAAAAGAAAGCAACAAAAGCAAAGAAAGTCCCAAAAACGAAGTTTGCCGGAAAATCGGATGCTGCAAGGGAACGCCTCAAGCATCCTAACCCTTGCTGACTATGGCGAATCCCACGTTGCAAGGGCTCGACTCACAGTGGGGCGCCCCCCTCTTCCCCTCCGATGTCTTTCGGTTTCATTGGTTAGGCATTTTTTCAACAATGCTGCCCTCGGTGTGTGAGGCTGGCATTGCTCCAATCCCAAGCCAACAGCTCCCCGAATCCGTCGGCGGAATCGAGTACAATCGATGGTGTATCGTACATAGAAATATGTAGGTACACAAAAGCAAGGAAGCGGTGGCCTCTACAGTCATGTTGCCCGTATCAACGCCTGTACAAGAAACCTAGAACTCTCAGGGGTGCCCCTAGGGAAAAACGAACACGACATCCAAACTGGTGCCATTTGGGAATTCCAGTAAGGATACTAGACTCATGAAACGTTTGCCACATTGACAACAATAATTTAGTAAGTTCTGTTCAGAGTTTCTCAGTAGATCGTAACAGAGATGCAGAGTCTGGGCTTGGGGAGCTCAGATCACGGCCATATACAAAGGTTTGGTTTGCAGTACCATATTGCAGTTGAGCAGTTTTCCTGGGCTAAATGGGGAAACCAAGTACAACAAAATACCGAGTACTACTGGGCATTAATTTCGCACTCACATTCTGGAAAACATGGTCTGGGTCTGGTGCAGCGATCATGATGAGCTGATGAGCTCATCCTCACGACTAACTGCATTGGGATCAAGATGGCGATGAGCAGGAATGGGGTAGCCAGGTATGTTAGCGATCACAAGACCCAGAGCCACTCCTGCAACCTGCAATGCAGTTCCTGCCTGTGCAGGAAAGCGTCACGCCTGACTGAGACCAAGCCACCGACAGGTTTGTGAGCACAGTGGGTTGGGGGTGAGGCACACCCAGGTCGATGGCCATGGGAGGTGATAGACCAGAATCAGGGCTTTGGATTGGCAACTGCTGAAATAGACTTGGCTGTGAAATAAATGGCTGGGCAGTGCGATGGCACAGGGAGTGGCCTGCAATGCCATTGTAGTGGGTCTCCCAGCGCACAGTGCAGCCTCAAGACATATCTTTTTCAGTCTAAACTGACATGTTACCATTTCAGTGCGCGCAAATGCCCACAGCAGCATATCAGGAAGGGGATCTTTTGCAACTGCAAACTATGGTGCTGGGTGGTCGTTCCCTTTGCAAGGTATTCACAGTATAGAAGGAAGATTGACGGAATTGCTTCCACAGAATGTAGGAACAAGGAATTGGACAGCAGCCAGCATGGCCTCAACACAGCATTTTCAGCGAAGACTTGGTCGAGTTCCCCAGGCTGCTTATGCTTTTCAAGTTCTCACCAGCAGGCCTCCATATGTCTGGGATCCAAAATAAAGGAAAGCAGCACGATCCACACAGGGCATCCATCCCTTGGAGGGCAGGTCTCTGAATCAACCAGAGCTGTACGGGGATGAGAATTTGTGTGAACTTCAAATGCACAAGGGCTGCTGGCCGCCATCCCTGTCGGCTGCCAGCCTGTTAGAGGGACTGACGAGGTGTTGGAAGGGGACCAATGACGACATATTGTGACTATGCCAGACAGGGAGGGCTTTGAAGGTTGGAGAAAAAGAAACCTGGAGCTCCCGCCCAGCAAGAAGGCCATCTGGCGCCCATCTGGCACGTGCCGGCCATATGCATCAGCATGCAAACCTGTTTCTACAACCATCCTGTGCAAGGCCATCCATATGGACCCAGCATATTCGCATTTGCAGCCAGGGGAGTCCATCTGGAGCCTTAGACCCATTTCTTCTTCCCTTCTGTTTTAAGGCGCCAGGTTGAGGGCTGCCCGCCGGCGCCCCCACAAGTCGGGCACGGGGCGGGGTGGACCAAAAAAAGCGCTCGGGGCGTCACGCTAAGTTACGGGCGAGTTACGGCCGGGTTCATCAAAACGAGGGCCGCAGGCACCTTTTTGCTGCCGCGGATGGGCGCGAAGGCGCCAGCGGATAGCCCCGCGATCGGCAATCCTGCAAGGAGTTGGTGCCCTCCGGCCACGAGTGCCCCCGCCGCAGCACCTCCGAGAGCCAAACGCTGGTCTACGCCCAACGCAGACAATCGCCCAATCGCCGGGCGCCGCGGAGCCCTCCCAGCGCCCACCCTGGCAGGGTTGCTGGATAGATGTGGACCATTTCTTTCGCCGAATTGCCGCCCCGTTGTGCGTGCAGCCGCACAGGCGCGCCGCGGGACTTCCAGGAAGCCCGCGGACAGCTCACACAGAGTGAGAACACAAAAACCAAGGGCGAAAAGTCTTCCCTGGCGCTGGCCTCCACGGGCTTCCGCCGATTCGCAAAAACACTTTTGCGACCAGAAAAGCACCCCGCGTCGCCTCATTCGCCCCCGCAGCGTCCCGCCCCAAGCCCCCCCCCCCTCCCCCGCGCCAACGTAGCTCCCACCAGAAATTGGCCTAAAAATGTGACGCCCGATCTTCGGGTGAAGCCGTGCCGCTCCCTCACCTTGCGGTGGCCGCAGTCCGGATCGCAGACCACGAACCTAGTCGCCGCCGCCACTATCTCCTCATCGGGGTGCGGGTCGCGCTTGATGTCCACGCAACGGGTGCCCGGCAGGTCGTTCCCGCACATGTGGTAGCTGCAGTCACACTCCGCCATGAGCTCCTCCAACCGGCCATAGTGGTCAACCAAGACGTCCGCCATTGTCCTTATTGTGGCAGTGTACTTGGCCTCCACCTCCGCCGGCGAGGTGCCCCGCCCGCTTTTAGAAGTTTGAAACAGGAGTACCAGAAACAGAAGGGCGGCCGGGCCTGTGCCCGCCATTTTGGCGCCGGTGGGCTTGCGAAAACCGCTGAGCTTCCGGAGGGCGGTTGCACTTGGGGAGGGCGTGGGGATTCCAAGGCGCTTGAGCGGCACTCGCGTCATCGGCAACTGCCTCACGGGGCCGCAGAAATTCGCTGAGGTCCACCCGCAACATCCCACGGACCATCGGAAAAGCTCCAGCCGGCGTCACCTGCACCCCTCGTCAGCCTCTGTGCCGCGGGCTCTGCGGTTCGGGTCCAATTCCATTGATTACGCCTTCGTCGCAGCATGACGAGGAGGGGCCGCGTTGGCTGGCGTGGGCTACCATGAGATTAGTCGCTCTGTCTTGCCATGTGCGCTGTCTTGCCGTGTGGGTGACGTCTAGTCCATCCCGTCTTGTTTCCGGACACACCAAACCCTAAACCACGGGCCGGCGTTGGCCTTGTCAGCGAACAGAAAGGGATCCACACGGTGACGACAGAGGGACTAATATATTCTGGCGTGGGGGATGGGCAGAAGCCACTTTGCCTGACCAGATGGCGCAAAGCTGTGGATGGCTAAGTGCTGGGCGACTGATTGATCGGTCGGTGGGCGGTCATCCACGACGACTTGCCGCGTCATGGCAGCGTCTCGGGAGAGGAGGACACCTTCCCTTCGCCAGAGAGGGGCGTGACTCTCCATGCGAGTGGTCCACAATACGACACACAGAACAAAGCTTGTGTACTGCTCCTACAGGCTACTGCGTTACGGCTATGCCAAGCAGGCCAGCCTGGAAGCCTTGTAAGGAGACCCAGAAATGGCGCAAAACTTTGCCTTGGAAGGCACTCACCTGTGACCTGACGTGCGCCCCTCGCGCAGGAACCAAAGTACTCCAAAAGGCTGGGATTTCAACAAACAAAGAGATGCACAAATTAGTACGCGCCACCATTCTAGAGCGGCGTCTAATATCCCCATTCCGTAAAATCAGAATTCTGGAACTGGCAGCTCGTAAGACTGGCCAGCACCAAGATCTTGGACCTTAAGGCCACCCTAGGTCGCCGGGGCCAGTAGCCGCTTGAGTGGGGATTTGCACCCGTGATCCGGTGACACACTAGAGGCAGTGCCGTTGATGTACTACAGTGATTATAGTACCCACAACGATTTTATTGCAGTGCGGCTGTGTATTTAGGTGGCTGGATCCTTGGGCTCGAATTTGTTGGCGCGTGTGTCATGTTACATCACCACCATGACCGCTTGTGAAGTGCGCTAAAAACGCTCTTGAAACGACATCACGGGGGGGGGGGGGGGGGGGGGGGGGGGGGGGGGGGGGGGGGGCTCGCGTTGTTCGCTTGCAGTGCTGGTAGAGAACTGGTCCCCTGTGAAAAGGATGGTTTGCTGGGCTCCTCTCCCTGCGCTGGGATGTTCATCATGCAACTTCGGGTGCGTTGGGAACAGCGCACAACATTGCAGCCTGTGCATTGCAGCATATGAGGCAAGTGCCGTGTCCCATCCGAGTCCAATTATTCGAATTCCCATATTTACACATACTCCGTTTTGATTGCGCAAGCACGCAGACAACATTGCAGCCACCGCGTTATTGTGCACCTGTCAAGTTCCGTTTTTACAGCATCGAGAGCGTCTCTGGCTTCGCTCGCCATAGAAACAAAGTCAGAATGCGGAGGAGCACCAAGCGATAGCTGATTGGTACACAGGGAATGACTGAACGCAATGAGGCTTGAATCTCATCGTGAAGCCTTTCAAGCGCAAAACAGCTCGATGCGACCTGGACTCAGTGCCCTTTTCGACATCATGGCCTACTCTTATGTGACCACGTGTTTAGCTCCAATTCTGTACAATGGAATGTGCACAACCCGCGCCACTCTAAACCTCGTCCGCTTCACCATCTAATCCCTCTTTCACCATGGCTTCAAGCCGTTCCACTACCTGCTGACAGCTCCGTCGGCCCTCTGGGTCAATTTTAGTGCAATCCCAAATCAAGCTCCAGAAACGGGGAAGACATGAAGTCGTCGCGGTCGTCTTCTTTCCATTATCTAAGCCTCCCGCAACACAACTCAGCATCACCTTGCCCAGGCTGTACACGTCTATTTTCTCCGCCTGGACGCGTGGCCTTGATCTGGTGACACCGCCTTGAATGCACTCTGGCGCCATGTATCCCAACGTGCCATGCTGCGCAGCGTCGATTGAGGAGGACACTTTGAACACTGAGCATGTGAAGTCCGCCAGCTTGGCGCTGTTGCTCTCGTCCAGGAGTATGTTGGCTGGCTTGACGTCATAGTGCGTCACTCCATTACAGTGAACAGTGAAGGTGCAACAGACCCTTTGCCACGTCCAGGATGATCCTCACCAGCTCCCCGTAGCTCGGCCTTGGCCCCATTTCGGTGAGGTCCTTCAGAGTCATGGGCATCCATTCTTCCACGATGACTGGCTCCTCGCCCGGACGCACGCCTATCACCCGGACGACGTTCGGATGGCGGGGAAGCCTGGCCAAGATCTCTATTTCTTTGTTCATGATCGCGAGGCCCTTTTCATTGCCAGCCACCTTCACTGATTTAACGGCCACGCTGTGCGTGATGCCGTCATTGTCGCGCCACACGCCCTCCTTCACACTGCCGTGCGCGCCAACGAATTCCTTTCCTTTTTTCAAAACGGCGACGTTGTCAACGCTTGGTACCTGCAGCACTTGGAGTTCTCTCTGTTCCACCAGCGACTGATACGTCATGTGTTCCGCTTGCCTCGGTTGTTCTGCCGCTCGTTCTTCCCCCATTGCCGTCTCCACGTCACAGCCATACACTTCAGGGATGCAAACACTGGGAGCGCGTCTTCCCCTGCATTGCGCGCCACGAGTCAATGGACAGCGACAGATGAACACACAGTTGACTCAGAACACCGGCGGTGGAATGAATTTGCCGCTTGTATATTCGAACTTATTTGATTCTGATCAACGCCAACGCAAAAAGTAGACCCCCAGCAGTCCACGGTGCTTGGTGTCGAATCAGAACAAGAAAGCTTTGAAAGCATGCATTTCTGCATGCAGTCCTCCAGTGCAACCTCATCTACATGACAATAGTCTTTCCTCCATCCAGAAATTGAATGACTTTGAAATAACAAATCTACAGCATCGCAATGAAGTCGAACGTCACATACACAGCACTGTGTCCGGAAGCATCAGATTCTCAGGCCCAAAGAGCCGCCCTTTCTGTCTAGTATGAAAAAGACCGAACTCAATCCCACCCCGCAACGGCGTCGTCAATCTGAGGACTTTGACAAGAAGCTCTACTTAAGCTTGCCTAAACTTGACTCTTGGCGAGAAGCGGCAAACGGGACAGCGCGCCAGCGGACAATTTTGCCTGGAATGCTTTTCATGAGCTTTCGTGTGGAATTGAAAACCCTTTCCGCTTTGGTGCTGCCGTAAACTGGACCGGACACTCAAACGAAAATGCTGCACGAAGTCAAGCGCGTCGCCAAGGGGCACTTCTGGCAGGGCAGTTGAGGCGTTTATGACGTTTGCATTCTCGTCACGATCCACCCAAACCTGAACTACAGTCCTTTCCCATGCGTTTGCCTGTTTCCAAAACCTTTTATGGTCTTTCGCTATGTAAAAAAGGGCCAAATAACACGTGTTCAATCGTGTACAAAGTTTATGGATTTGGGTTATTTTCATGGTTTTTGCGTGCAGAACACTGACCGAATGCATATGTACGTGTTGGCAAAAAGTGTTATTTTGTCCTTTTTCTGCTAGTGTCTGGCATGCGTGCATCCAATTACGCCCGCATTCTGTGCTCTGTTTTGACCAGGACAAAGAATCAGCGAGCTTGCAGTACACATAAGTTCACCTAATGCAAGGCAGCGTCGACTTTGGGACACGGTATGCACTTTACATGTCCACTTTGCGCACGTGCATGTATACGTCTGCGGTCATTGCAAATTCGAGTATGGCTTCCAAAAGATTATGCGACTTGATCCGCATTTAAGCATGGCTCCCCCCCGGTTCAAGATTTTCAGCAATTAACCAATCGCTCGTACACACAAAGCATACAGAGCAGATGACCCACATGAGAAAACCATACGAACACCGTCAACGACGATCAGGGGCTGCTTCCTTCCATGCGATTTTCTTGCCAATAAACTTACCAAATTTGGCCGCCATGAAATTTGCCTCACCTTATGAAGTATTGGCAGATTCTATCCGGCAGATCATTTGACTTTAATCGTCGCAGGACCAGGATCACCACAGCGAGGAACGCCGACGCGATGATCACGGTAATGGTAGCCGTGAGCGCCGCTGTTTTGGTTGACTCTCCTCCCTGCTGACACAACAATTAGTTCCTCGAAGACCTAACAGAACGGAACGAATGTGGAACGGCCTCCTTGATTCCTTCGAGATGGACGGAGTGGCAAGCGTGAGATATCACTCGCGCATCGATGCGCACTACATCTGGACGAATTTGCGCACGCGTGGCATGTGTAGGCAAATAGTTTTTACTGCAACCTCGGCGCTTGAAAATTGGCTTCGCGCTCGCCTAGGTCGTGTTTCAGACACCACGTCGCGATTTTCCGCTCACGTGTCTAACATGATGTCGTATTTCCTTGCAAAACACTCTATCTACGTGCAGAGCAAATCAAGCGTGACATGGCCTCCAGGAGGGTGTATAAAGGAAAGCATGTGGGACAGTTGAACAAAATATGTAGGTTTGGGCATAGGTGCTTACGACAGGGGAGCTGTTGCATGATCTCCTTCTCCCGCATCGGAAAACAGTATTGATAAATGCACTGCTCTCTCATTTTACCAGTGCTGAAAATGCTGTCCTAGTAGGGTGGCATTTCCAGGACTGGTGGGTAGCTCCAGTGCAGAGTAACCCTACAGCAATGGTGGATTTTCAAATACCGATGCTCGACCAAAGAACCTTACACAGGCATTTCCATGCAGGCTCACCTGAATAACTGCCCTTCTTCCGTCGTCGCTTGTCGTATTGAACTGGGGATGACACAGAAACGGTGACTATACCCTTTCTCATTGGTGTTATCGTAGTGTAAATATGATCAATACCAAAAGCGGGCAGAATCACCACAATAGGCACTTGTCAAAGATTTACAATGATACACCACGTTCATACACATATTTCATATATAAAGTAAAAGTTGCAATCATCAAGCTGTCCCAAGGAATAACCCAAGGAACAAGGACAGAAGGTCAAAACCCCGCAAAGCAAACTCATGTGTATCATTACAACACTGCATGCAATAAATGTATGCCTATTCAAAGGGCATCCGGTGGCTGCACTCTTTATTTGTTGTGTTGAAAACGCTCACTAAGTGTAATCAATCAGCCCACAAAGGACTGCTACCCTGTTTTGCGCTATTGGCCTTGCAACCTCACTCTCCACCTATGGAATCCCGAACAACGAGTGTTCCCCCAAAAACATACAGCCCTACACAGCAGACCATTCTCTTGGCTTACTGGCTGAATTTGGGTTGCTTGGCTGGTGTCAACATCATGCAAACCAACTTACACATTTGCATCTTTCTTGCACAAGGTAATTTAAAGTTTAGGGACTGGAGGAATGAGATATGTGATTGTAGTCTAAGGGGTGTGCAGCACCCCACATTATGTATTGCATGAGATTGGCACACAAGCCAGAATCTAAAGTGCTCATATTTGATCTGTTCGGGTCCTATTTCTAGCCAGCATATTTAGCATTTAAACGTTCATATCTGTTTATTGTTACATTCGGAGCTTCATCATGTTTAGTTTACACGATTAGCTGCCTAACCTGCCATTCTTCGACTCTTAATGGTGAGCAATTCAATTTATATTTGTCTACTCAACTAATAACTGATCTGCTACAGAGCAGATCTCTCCACATCAGTCTCTTTTGTTCAACAATTTCCCCATGGCTGCCAATCATTACATTCACTGCCCAACTAATCTGGCTTGACTACTTCTACGCCAATCCTGCTACTTGCATGCCTTCCAATTTCGTGAATGCTTCACATTACCTAGCTTGCTATTTCCTAAGTGATCATTGTTTATGGTTGTGCAAGCCTCTGTGTTCGTGATCTCAAGGGGTCCATTGCACATCATTAGGCTATTCGCATTTATCTCGATTTTGTTCGCCATTGAGAGATGTAGCGCCACTTCACATAAGCAAGCAGTTGCGAAACAACAGAGATTGCTTATGACGAGACTGACATTGCTATAGTTGTACTTTTGTGGTGTGGCATGCAGGTAGAGCATTATTCATAGTCTTGTATCGTTCAATGAGCCCCGGCGCTGATTCACTTGTAGAGAATATCGTTCTTGCCAATTGACCGTCGATCAATTGATGTCGTCGCAGCCACATCTATGCCATCCCAATAACTGTGATGACGCCACATAGGTTCAAAATGGCATCGAAATTGTCATATATTTACATATTTATATTTATTTATTTGTATATTTATTTATTTACTTACAAGCTCGGACCGCCGAACGCGCTGCGCTCTCGGCGTCCTCTGATTAACCCGGCGGACGATGACGTTGCAGGGTCGGGCCCGTGAGGCAACGCACATGTCCTGTGTGCCGGTGCCAAAATAAATAGTGATGAAGCCTTGTTCCCGCCCTCGTAACTCCACGCTCGGCGTGGAGCATAGTCAGCTCGTTGCCACTTCCCGCCCACGCGATCACATGATGTACGGCAGGCGCGTGCAGCGTTGTCTAGAGGAGCCAGGGAGCGTGGCTGGAGGTAACGCGCCAGGCCGGCAAGCAGGCGCGCACTCGGGCTTGCGCGTGCCTCACAGGCGGGTAGTGAGAGTGGCCTCTGGGTGCGCGAGCGTGGCGCCTCCCAGGCGCCCGCTCCCGCCCCTCACACCTGCTTAGATTGGCAGCGGGCGATGGCGGAAGCGACCCGCCGGGAGGCGCCAGTGCGCCTGGCGCACATCGGCTCCACGGGTAGCGTGGTTGGGAGCCCGAGGGGCACGAGAGGGTTCCCCGGATTGGCGCCTCACCGGCGGCCAATCATGCCGCCCGTGGGGGCATCGAATGCACTCCAACCGGTGGCCCGAGTGGCCACCCGCGAGGGCCGGGAGGCATGCTCAGTTTGGCGCCTCGCGGCCGCCCAATCGCGCCGCCCGCGGTGGCCTGGAATGGCCATAGCAGGCGACGTGAGTGAGCGCCCACGATGCGCCAGACAAGTTGGCAGATTGGTGATTCACAGGCGGGCATTCCCGCCTCTCGCGGTGGCCAAGAATGGCCTCCCTCCTGTTACACGAATGGGCGCCCACGGGCACCCATTCTCGCCACCCGCGGAGGCGGTTCCAAGGCACCGCGGGAGGCGGTAACGGGCGCCCGTGAGGTGCCAAACTGGTGGCACCTGTCGCATCCTGGAGGCGCCTACTCGCGCCGGTGGGCGGGGTGATTGGGCGCCGGTCAACAACCGATCGCGCGGCGCATCTTGAGACTGGCGGCCGCCCACTCGCACAATCAGCGGGGCCTGTTATGGGCGATGGTGGGTGGCACAAATGGGCGCCCGCAAGGCGCCCATCCTCTTGCGCCTTTTGCGTCTCGCGGGCGCCCATTCGAACAACTGGCGAGGGCCCATTCTAGGCGATTGCGGGAGGTGCGAATGGGCGCCCGCGAGGCGCCCATCCTCCCGTGCCTCTCGCACCTCGCGAGCACGAGTCCCGCCACGCTGGGGGGGGCGCGGGGACGCGGAGACGCGGGAACGCGGGGACGCGGGGACGCACGCTTCCCCCCCCCCCCCGTGGGTCCTTCAGTCCCGCCACCCTGGTGGGGACGTGGGGACGCGAAGCGCGCGGGGACGCGTCCCCGGCCCCTCCCTGGGGGCCCGTGAGTCCCCTCCACCCTGGGGGGGGACGCGGGGACGCGAGGACGCGAGGACGCACGCACCCCCGCCCCTTGGGGCCCTTGAGTCCCGCCACCCCTGAGTAGGGATAATGAGGACGCGGGGACGCGGGGACGCACGCATCCTGGGGGGCCCTTGAGTCCACCGCCCCTGAGTGAGGATGCGGGGACGCGGGGACGCATCCCCGGCCCTCCCTGGGGGCCCGTGAGTCCCCACCACCCGGGGGGGACGCGAGGGAACGGGGACGCACGCACCCGCCCCTGGGGAATCCCTTGAGTCCGCCACCCTGAGTGGGGATGCGGGGAGGGACGCGGGGACGCGCACGTCCCCGGCCCTCCCCTGGGGCCCGTGAGTCCCCGCCACCCTGGGGGGGGACGCGGGGACGCGGGGACGCGGGGACGCGGGGACGCGGGGACGCGGGGACGCGGGGACGCGGGGACGCGGGGACGCACGCACCCCCGCCCCCTGGGGGCCCTTGAGTCCCGCCACCCTAGTGGGGATGCGGGGACGCACGTTTCCTTGGGCCCCCCCTGGGGGCCCGTGAGTCCCCGCCACCCTGGGGGGGACGCGGGGACGCACGCACCCCACCCACCCCTTGGGGCCCTTGAGTCCCGCCACACTGGTGGGGACGTGGCGACGCGGGGACGCGGAAATGCTTCTCCTCGGCCACCGAACGATGAAATTCGGCGACGGCCGGCGACGCCCAGCGACGCAGGGTCCCGGGGATGCTGGGGACGTCAGGCCTCTGCCAGGCGGGGACGGAATTCGGGGACGCCTGGCGACGCCCAGTGACGGGGACTCTGGGGACGGAAACCGCCCTCTACGTGGCGACGTCCCCACCCCAGGTCGGCGACGTCCCCATAGCCCGTCCCCGGGAAAATCCGGGGACGTCCCCAGAGATTGGGACTCTAGTGGTTGCTTTTTCTATCGCTTGTACCATCCGCAACAGAAACATCACAAAAACGCCAGTGATTTTCCCAACGCAATTTACTTCTTTTGATGCCATATATGACGAAGCAAATATCACGTATTCAACTCATGCGAAGCGAAGTTGCATGAAAAAACTACAGCTGCTCTTGTTTGCTTCTTTCAGTCCCACTATATAGTGGCAACAAGAAAGGAAAAAATTTCTGTGTCCACAGCGCTGAGGTACATAAGCAGTGCTCGCTCCTCGGTGCCCAACTTGACCCCGATTCGTGTCCTCTGTCCCGCCAGCTTGGATCAAGCAGGGCTCGAGCTGGGGTTTCCTGAGGCCCCTGCACTGGAGCGTGTGGGTGGCAACGATTGCAACCTCACTCGTCGTGCCCTGGCTCGTGTTCATCGTGGAGAGCTTGGCCTGCCACGGATTTGTGTACAGGATGGACTGGATACGGGGCCTCAAGGAAGCCACGTACGACAGCTTCGCCTCGCTGCTCCACTTAGGGCATTTCAGAGTGAAATCAGCAGCGGCCAGGGTGGTTGCCATGGCCTACGGCTTTTTGGTGCTGATCATCATCAACACTTATGTTGCCAACCTGGCAGCGTTCCTGACCATCACGCAGGTGGACACAATGATCAACGGGCTGCAGGATTTGACCAAACTGCCGGGAAAGAGGGTGGTTTCAGTGAGCGTGTACGGCAACAGGCTGAAGAGGCTGGGGATAACCCCAGAAATTGCGCAGCAGGTGGGAAAACCGATGAAATTTCACATAAATTACATTATTGCGCAGTGGAAATCCGTTGCAATTACATTTGCCAAAATCAGGGCAAAGCTAGCCCTGTCACCAAGATGGCGATGTCGGGCAGTGTTCCCAGGATACAGCATGCAATCCAGTCTGCGTTTGTGTTTGACTGTCACCAAAAGGTCCCCAAAACTGGCAGCAAAATCACCCAAAGAAAATAGCAAACACGGGCCCGAAAATGTCAAGGGCAACTCCCCGAATCCCGAGGGGATAGGGGGAGTGCAGAAGTGAGAGCCAACGAGTAATAACTGTGATCCAGATCAAGAGTGTTGCATTCGTCAGCCAGAACCCTCGCCCAAAAAGAGATAGAAACCCAAATGGACCCAAAAAGAAAATAGAAAGTGAATCTGATCTCCCCAGACAAGCGCATGTCAAGTACGTCGACCTTAAGGCGTGCCTCCGGGTTGGGCGTCCCAATAACGCTTGACCCGCATCAAGAAGCCAGCCAAGTCCTTAAGGGCCTTGGTCACGAGCTCTGATAGGTCCCACTGCGAATTGGCATCAATCCGGTGGCGCGGCGATGCAAGAAACGTCATCCGGTCGCCAACATAATGTGCACAATCCAAGAAAATGTGTTCGTGATCCTCCAACGTCGCCTCACAGAAACGGCATTTGCGCAGTACCTGTGAAGTAGTATCTTCAGCGCAGTGACTGTACTGTTACGCCATCCACTCTGCATTCCCATTCTCTTTGCGCGCTTCCACATGTTAGAACGCCGCAAAACAATTGTAATTCATAATTGGAAGCAGAACATGGTGGCATGTATTTTAAGAACAATCGAAATAAACTCAGAAAATGAGCTGTTGGAGATTCGGAGGCCTTGAATTGCATGTCAGGGATAGACTAAACTTTTGATGCATCTGATGATGCTGTGAACCAGGTTTTGGAACAATGGTATTGAGCACATTCAATCATAATAAGAGATGATATTCCAACGCATCGGCGCAATGCTGCAATTTGTGGCAAGAGAATTGCAGTTGCCGTCTTTTTGTGTGGTGCTATTCAACAAAACCTAAGCCACGCACATATGTAGGCGTAATGCAGCAGTGTAATAGGAGCAATTTTGTTGAAAATATTGTTCTCTTGCTGCAAGGAACAGCTTGAATTTCACGTCAGGCACATGGACAGTGCTCTGTAGCCTCTCCTGGCTTGGGCAAGTGCAGCGTTGGAAGCTTCTATCGTGTTACAACAAAACAGTGCCTTTGGACTGTTTTGGCCCCACAGCAAATTCGTAGGCCTCCCATTACAATTCTTTCTTGCCACGTTTCCTTAGCACATAGGAAGCTGGGTTGATTTGCAGCAGCGTTAACGCCAAGCAGCTGCAGCAATTTCCTATGCCACTTACACTGCCATTCATGATGGGATTCCAGTCAATAGTTGAGAAAGTCACAACCGACGCATGGCTGCATTGCAGACCGAGAACAATCAGGACCAGATGGTGGAGGACCTTAGGGCAGGGGAGTACAAGGCCATCGTTATGGACGAGCCGTGGATATCCTACACTGCCAACACTGACGGCTGCGACCTGAAGATGTTGCCGCAGACTTTGGAGTTCTTCGACTATGCTTTCGCATTCCCCAAGACCAGCGATGATTCCTTGGTGAAGAATGTGTCAGAGCAGGTGCTGGCGCTGCAGGAAGATGGGGTCATGGAGGATCTCGCCCGCGAGCACATCTTCATCAGGAGGTCGGGCTGTCCGGCGGACAGAGAAATCAGTGAAACGAGGGCCGTGCGCTTCAGCCAGGTAACAAGTTGATCCGTTTGATTTAAGCTACAAGGGTCGGTAAGTAGTACAATAGCTGCCCTTGAAACCTCAAGACACCAGCAGCTTTGCTGGTTCAATGCGCTTCTGCTTCCTGGCATATTACCTGCCCACATGTATGCAGCCATCCAATGCCCGGCTGGATTTTCCAGACCCAAACATAGAATTGTATCACGTATGTGGTGCTTCATGATAATTGTATGGCTTTGTGTTTCCTTTTCAGGTGCTAGGATTGTGGATAGTGCTGGCATTCGCCATCCTCATAGCGACGCTGCTATTAGTATTCCCCCTCGTGCCTAGAATTTCCATGGGCGATCAACATCAACACGTTTTGGAAGGAGTCAGTGACACCTCCTCCCAACGGGTCGTGCCAACGGTTCATTGTCTCCACGCCCCGAGCCGAACGGCGACGGTGTACCACAAATACGCCACGATGGACCTGGAGTGCAGCGATGACGGATCAGCATTGAGCAAAGCTGTGAGGATGGAGGTCAGGGAAGAGATGCAGGGGATGAGGCAGGATCTGATTAAGCTGGTCAAACAAATGGCGTGCGGATGGCGGCCCGTAGACTCCATTTCGGCCACAGGCCTGTATAGGTCTATTTCCGATCTACAGACCAGGAGATGGGCCAGATGGAGCCGATGCTCCCTGCTGGGGGACCGCTGATAGTGGCAGGCCCGTCAAATTGGTCCTCAGGGAGCTTCGGAGCGGCTCTGGCTGAAGGAACTGGACCAGAGAAGGAAGGCAGGCTGAGCTGGTGTTGCTGTGTTTGCCGCCAGTATGCATCGCTCCAGAATTTCGGAGGCGGTGAAAGGCTTCATGGAAACTATGATAGGTTCATGAGGGGGCCGCGAATAATCGATGCGTACAGGGTGATGGATGCTGGTCCTGCGCGTGCGGACGATCTGCCGTCCTCACCTTGGCTGTTGCAGCTGCGGGTCGGCTCGGCGCGTATTGTCATTGCCAATTCCCGGCTGGCTTCGGTGTTGTTTTTGAGACATGCATTTGCACTTAATTGACAATCAGTTGTATGATTATGTAACATTGAGCCTGTGTTGCGGACCAGTCGTGGTCAAGGGCCGTTTCTGGGTATGTTTCAGAACATTGAAAACTGAACAGCAGGACGACTGTGATCGATTTCCTGTGTCACGGGTGGCAGTCAGCTCACCTGGAGAACCAATTCTAGAATGTGTTCTAGAGTGCTATTTTGTAAATATGTGACGTTGGTCTGACAGGAAAAGTGGGATTTCAAATGCCTGATCCTGTCCCATCCTCCGCACGGCCTCGTGGATGGGGACCCAATTTTGCGTGCCACCGCCTCTCGCACCAATGCCTTGCCTTGCCAGCGGTCCCGGGCGCGTGAAGCACAATATACGCGCCCTAGAAAAAGTTTCTGAGAAAGTACCACTATATAAAGGTAAATGTAAAAGCAAGAAACGTGTGCTGTCGTAGTATGTACCATGCGCCAGGAGACGATTTGCAATAATAATTGGATGGCACGAGTGTGAGATAAAAGTGGATCCAACAGCCGGCAAAATTTATGGAAATGGACTGGTAATCAGTGCAAGACTTCGGGACTGTAGGCAGGCTTGTTTTTTACGCCGTAAAAACTGATCATATTTATGTTTATACGCATGAAAATATTTATTACGTTTTCGCTCGTAAAATTGCCCAAAAAGATGTAAATATAATGTAAAAACTGCTAGGTGTACATAAGGACAGTACATACAGACTAACGGAGTCCGGAGAGTGGCAACCAGACGCCCTGTAACGGGCATAAAACCAGTTTTGTTTAAAGAACATTATCGACCTTGCCAAGGGCGAGGTGAACATTGTGTTGCGGGTGTTGGAGATGGCGCAAGACTGATCATTGTGCGCAGCTTTCATCGTGTAAACTGGGTATCCCAGGGAGCCGGAGAAACGTAAAAAGCCGTTAAAATAGACCTTTGCACAAATTGCTGTTTTCCTCGTAAAAGCGAAAACGTAAACGTAAACGTAAACGTAAGAGCCAAGCCTGTCTGCAGGTGTGCAAGCATGATGTAGGTACATCAATATAATTTTTCCATTGAGCATGGCAAAGCCGCAGTGTTTCCATACACTGCGCCTTGCCCTATTCTTTAGAATAGAATGTGAATTCCCATATGGGAAGCATCAAAATTGATTATGTGGACAAATATTCCAGACAGCCCCTCACAAGGTGTGGCGCACAGTGTGCCGCACATTGGGTTTTGGGCGGCAAGGAAGCCCTCCCATGTCACACCTCGTAAACTTTCCCACAAACGGCCTAAACCCGAGTTAGCTTCATTCACTAACGTTAATTCCGCTTCCTCGTCCCCTCAAGACTGCACATGTGACCCGGCAAGTCAGCAAGAGCTCATGATGTTACCGCCACTGTCGCTCGAATTTCAGCATCGAGGGGGCACCTGCGCGCGAACGTGGTATGCTTGGACACCTATCGGCCACTCGTGGTTGGCGATCCCCGGCAGTTCTTGAGAGGAGGCAGCCGGCAAGCCCTGTCGTGGACTGCGCACCAGTCGCCTATTCCTCAGGCGACGGACGTGTGCGCTTACTATGGGACGCGAGTGGCCTTCGCTGCAGTGTTTGGCGTGTTGTGTCGGGACTGGTACACAGGAAGCTGGGCGGGGAGCGCCCCTCCACAATGGACGGACATTTGAACAAGTGCTCAGCTCAGGCACGCACCGCCGCTACTCAAAGGCGGCGCTCCCTGGAGCCTTGGCTGGCTGCGAGGCGCCGTGGCAGTTACTCTAACGGTCGAAGACTTAGAGCTGCAGGGATACCTTCTGCGTTTATATGATTGTGCGTGCCACCGCCGGGCTTGCCCGTGCCGGCCAAGCCCAACGCCGTCTGCCCTTTTGTCTCTTTTGCTCTCGTGCGTCCAGATGGGTCCCCAAGGGCCGCGCTGCGTCGATGACGCAGCCAGCAAGGGGTGCCTCACCCTGCCGACTGCGTCCACAAACCCTCCATCTGCTGCCTTGAGCGGCACGCATGTCTTCTGGAAGCTCCTGGTGGCGCTTCCGTCGTGTTTTGGATCTAGTCTCGTGCTCTTCAGCTGGGCGTCTCTTGTCACGAACCACTGACGCCGCCCCGCGTCAAGTCGCGCTGATAGGTCAAATCCACACACGAGCGGCGGCCGTGCCCATTGCCAATGCGGCGTCCGTGCGAAATGGCCCTCGCCTTGGAAGTTTCGACCACGGGGCGGGCTTCCGGACGGCAGACACCAATAAAAGAGGTATTTTTGCGATGCCAGCAGTGATCCCATTTGAAACTAATTGATAGAATCACATCCGCTTTTGTGCTATCACAGTGACTGTGATGCCACCGCTTTGTGTCAGAATGGCATCGCAGTTGGCATCGCAAAAAAGGTGTTTTCTGATAGTGAGAGGGGTGGTGGGTTGGGTTGGGGTGGAGGTGTGTGGGTGCGGGTGGAGTGGGTGAGGGTAGGTGGGGGGCGTTTCCCTCTCGGTTCCTCTGCTGAAGCGGCAAGCCAAGGCGATCGTGTGCGTTCTTGGTCGGCCCCTGTAGTCGTCTTGGTGCTGACCATCGGCCAGCCTCTGGAGTACGGCACCCAGGCTGTTGCAGATCGTTGTGTTCCTGGCCATCGGCATTGCTGGTGTCCTTTGTGGGGAATGCCGCTACTTTGAAATTGGCATGGGCTCAAGGGTCTCTGGGGGGGCCAGGACATGGACGGTTAAGGGATACGTGGGGCTTTAAGCGTACGAAATTCGAAATGCTGAAATAACATCCTCTCGAAGGGTCGTGAGAGATGGGCAAGGTCTGTGACCACAACAACATTGCTGAATACGTGCGCTTTCCATAAGCACCTTGGCGGCTCTGTGGGAACCGATGAACTATACCGCAGCCGTCCTCGAAAGGTGGCTTAGGGTCCACGTATTCCAATTCCGTGGCCCTATTAAGAGCAGGTAAGAGCTGCTGTGAAAGAGCACTTTCTCTTGTGATGTGCGCAAGCACGAAATTCCCTTTTGTCTGATTAGAATCCTACAAAAAATCCCCGACTGCTGCTGCAGCGATGGACAGCTCCACAAGTCAGCATGCGCATGCCATCGCATATATTATGTTGTTTCGCATTACTTAGACAGCGCATCGCGTACACGGGAAATACATCGACCGATACACCAACATTGCCCCAGGCATCGTCGATGACATGGATTCATGGCCCACATCGATCATCAACCCCTGTCGGAGCAAACTTTCCCAGTTCCTCTTATTGGCCTCATGAGGAGTTTGGGCGCCAACGAATCTTCTCGATGGCATGACGCTTCGAAGACATGAATGGCGCTCCTGTCAGCTGGACGCTCAAGGGTCCTCAACTGCATCCGTTGTGTGAACTTTTGCGATTGCTACGCCTGGGTACTATGGCTGGGTCAAACAGACTGGACCCACATGACATCATTGGAGGGTCACACAAGTATGGTGTTCTTGCGCAACTGAAGACGCCAATGCATACAGACTGCTCTGTACAGAGTTTGTACCAGATAACTCTTCCAAATGTGGTAAACTGCACTTCTCTTTCCCTGAACCTCTTTCCCATACATTACAATGCACTGCCGTGATCTAACCTGCAATGCCGCTAACTTTATTGAAAATTAGGCTGATATTACGTTGGTTTAGTTTTAGGGTGAATTATCCAATAAACAGCTACTTTTCATGTGGCAGCTTTGACCACTGACTCTGGCACCAACTGGACGTCCTGCATAGCCTCACGCCTGCTAGCACAAGTATCGAACAACGGAAATACGTGGAATCGATATTGTGCCCGTTTTAATGGGGGCCATAATATAATCCGGTGCAGCAACCAGGCGCGCACAGCTGGACAGTCACAGAACCCGGATCGGGCGGCCTGAGGCAGGTCGATGGAATGAGCTGTGGCTTTCAAATCTGATTTTGCTTGCGGCCATCCTGGTCTGCCTTCCCACCCAAAACGCCGCCGCTGAGGATGAAGTCCCATTCAACACGTGCGTATCCAAAATGGTGGCCATGGTGGACAGCGAACCTTTCACTAGGAAAAAAAGGGCCAAGTAACACGTGCTCAAACGTGTACAAAGTTTACGGGTTTGTGTTATTTTTTGTGTTATTAGCGTGCATAACTTTGATGAAATGTGTTTTATGTGTGTTCGCAAAAGTGTTATTTGGCCCTTTTTCCCTAGTGTTTCCTGGGCCAGCCGCTCTACGTCGACTATCAAATTGAGCTGTTCAGAGAGGCGATGTGGCGCCAAAAAAATCATACGCTGGAATGCGGGTGTGTTCTTCAACCTTTGCAATGCTACGGGTGCTGCGACATTTAATCAATGGCGTTTATCAACAAAGGCTTGAACATGCCTTGATAAGATGCAACGAAATATTGCAATCAATGCATGTATTGATTAACATATTTCCTTGTATCTTATCAACCATGCATTGTTGCATTTAGGCAAGGCAATTTGGGTGGCTTGCGGAACATGCCAGCGAAGACGTTTGCTCAAATGCCGTGCTCGAATATATTGTGACTAGCTCAAATGGCCTGCGACGCAAGCCGCAACCCGTCCCCACGCGAACTCTTAATTGCCTTCCCTGAACGCCAAACTAGGCCAGCATCAATCGCTGCTCAACTAGGGGAGAATGTCGAGAAGGGGACCCGCGATGCAGTA